AATTTTATGAAAAAAGAACATTATGATCTAAAGGGTATCAAAATTACAAAAAAAAAAAAAAAAAAAAAAAAAAAAAGCTTAATATTTATTTGTTTTACTTTATTAAATATTTTTTTAATTAATTGCTTCGCTTTATGTGATATACTTTCTCTTAATTCGAATAACAGACATAATTTTTGTTCAGTTACAAAGTTCGCTGTTCAAGTCCGTTAATTGCTGTGCCGAGAATACCGACTAACTTGTCAATCGAAATTTTTTCGTTTTCACTAACCTCTTGTCACATTCTTCATGTCTTTATCCATTTTGCAGCAATTGTACTTTTGTTTGATGAACATCGAAACATTTTCGTTTTGTCGATCCTTGGGCTTCAGAATCGGAAATTCTATTTGACATAATCGAAAGTTCAAGTTACTTTTATAGTATTGCTCTTTACAGCCTGCAAAAAATAATAAGGGAATTCCGAAAATTAAGGAGCACGCAATCATCAAAATTAACTGAAATCGATAATTAGATAATTTTAGCTTAACGTCCATTATACATAAAACGGCACGCGAAAACGTATTCTGCGCTTGCGCACACTCAATATGCGCAGTCGTAAAAGGTTGCATGCACGCGTAACGCCTATGCGCATGTGTCAAACGTGGCACATGTGCAGAAAGTTTTAGCTTGAGGTGCCGATTAGAAGTGGGAAGGAACGACTTTTGACTGTAATTAATATATTTGCAGCAACTGCTGAAGTATAGATAAACTTCAAAAATGGGTGTGTTTTAACACAGATTAGCTTTCTAAGGAATAATATTTGGACTGGCTTAAATAAAATCAAAGTAATCGAATAGTCATAATAATTAAATTTTTTTTACCAATGCATTATACCGCACGGAAATTGGAGGGGGGGCTCCTCCCCATTCCCCGCAAAATCTCGAATATTGAAGCCATTACAGTTCACAGCAAAACAAGCAACAGACTTTTTTTTGACACTTTCCAATCAGAATTGAATAGGACTAAAAGTTCTGTGGTCTACCAACCCAAGCGATTCTATTCTGGAAATTTAATGCAGTCTGTTCAAAATTCGTGTGAAAAACACTGCATATTAGTAAGTCTCTTTTTTTCCCTTTATTTAGTTATTTATTCTCTGAATGCCGGCAGCTATTGATTCCGATTGCATAATATCACGTGCGGAGGAATTAAGGCACACGTATTGCGCAATAGCGTGTGCCATATTTTGTGGAGGTAATTAAATTTGATGTTCAGTCTGAAAAGTATTATCACATAAAAGGAAGCAACTTAAACAACTTACATTGAAAGAAATGTTTAATAAAGAAACAAATAAATATTAGCTTTTTTTTTTTGTTGTAAATTTTGATACCCTTTAGATTATAATGTTCTTTATTTCATAAATACGGTTCATATTTTAATTTAGAATTTCTGCATGCCATCTTACGAGATTTAAACTGATGATCTATAATCTGGAAAAATCGATAATCCGGAATCGCCGAAGTCCCGACGAGTCCGGATTAACGACTTTTGACTGTATAAGATGATTTTTTTAGCTCTGAGGCATCTTTTAAATCGAATATCTGAGTTATTTTATAATTTATGCTCTATTTGGTTCATTTCAAATTAGAGTACCTTTTATTTTTAATGGTGAAATACGTTAATTATTGGTGTTAATTTCCATGTACTTAACTTGCTATAAATATTTCTGAAAGCAAATAATAAAAAGGGATTTTTTAAAATATTATTTAAAATTTGTAACTGGGTTATTATAAAATGTAAGGAAATCATTCTTTTAGTACTCAAATTTTTTTCTCTTAATTTCAACAATACATATTGGAAAAACTCATCTTTACTACTTCTTAAGTACACGTATAATGGAATTTGCTTTACGATACTTTTTAACAGAATGCTTTCCAGTACGAAAAATTCTTGCTTAAATAGTTTTATAAATGCATTTGTCAACAGAATTTAAATTTATGTTATAAGGTGTTTCTCCCGCCTTCGTGCTTTAGTGGCCAGCACACTCAAAACGAATTTGAGAGGTCCATGGTTCGAGTCCTGGTGAGGGTATTGGTCATTTTTCATATCTCCTGCTTCAAAATAGCCTAATGTGTGTACAGTGGCATCTGAACTAAAACGTGGTGAATGATTCTTCATTACCAGTATTTGGTGATTGGGTCCCCTAAAACCCCAGTCGCCCTTTAAAAGGGGGATTATATAAGGTATGCCTCCCACCTTCTTGGCATGCCTCCATGGTGTAGTCATCAGCACACTCGATGCAAATTCAAGAGATCCGTAGTTAGAGTCCCGACGAGGGTATTGCCCATTTTTCATATCTCTTGCTTTGAAATAACCTAATGTCTCTACAATGTTTACAATTAAATGTTAATGTTATTATATATTTAGATAATATTTATCTTAATGTTATTATATATTTAGATAATATTTATAATCATTTAAAAATTTAGGTATCTTTAATAACTAGATTTCTTCACAGTAACTTTCACAGGTGTTTAAGAATGAATAAATCCTTCATTTCCAACTACATTCATAAATAATTTAATAAATATTTACGTATTTTGTTAAAGGCCAGAACATGCATTTTGCAAGCACATGCATAAATATCCATATGAATTTCATATTTTTCATTTTTGACGTGTGCAGATCTTTTAATTTCTGTACATTCACTATGTTTTTGAGTAAAGTAATTTAAAATAATTTAGCATATACCAGAATTTTGTACATAAAATATATATATAAATATAATGTGAATGAAAATTACATGCATTATCTTTAATACCCATGCAAAGTTCAATTTTTCTTCAAAAATCCTTCATGATGGCATTTCTCCCTTTAGGCAGACAGCCCTTGCATGTCTTATTTAATAAAACCGTAACCTGACCTATGTGCGTAATTACGAATATTTTAACAAGCAAAATTTTGTATTTACATTTAGCCATCAAGTTTCAAACTTTTGACTTAAAACACGTTTTAGAATACGTTCATTATCAATTTCAAATTTTCTAGTAAATATATTTTGGCACCTAATTTAATAGTTCTGTGATAGTATAATATATAATAACTATCCATTTCACATTTAAACATTAACATCATTGTCATCAGATCACAATTTTGATTGCATTACTCTGCATAATATTGCTTCATTTTTTAAAAGTTAAAACAGCTAATTGATCTAAATTAACAAATACTTGAAATTTTCATACTGCAAGGTATATTGATATATCGATTAATAACATTGATGATGCTTTTTTCATTTTACAATAATATATAGATGGCAAAAATGTATTTTTTTAAAAATATTTTGGTGTTTGGAACATAAAATAAATGTAGCAAATCCTCTATCAAGTGTATCGAAAGACTTATACAATTTTAAAGGTACTAAAAGGTATTTTTATTCTTTACACATAACATTTTTGCTAAACTCTACATTTTTGTAGTTCAACAGCTTAGAATTTTACAAAATAAATTCATAATCAAAGTTATCAAAAAATAACTGAGATGTGATTTTTGCGTAAATGTCACTAAACTCTAATATCCACCCAACAATGAATGTTTCTTTTATTGCGTAAGTGTCCCACTTTTCGATTTTTATGGAACTGTTGTGTGTGGAAATAATATCGAAGTACTGTCAAGGAAGCTCTGCATGTAAACAAAAAACACTGCATCTAAGCCTGGGAGCACTGCTTCGGTCATAGTGTAAGGTTGGCCCTTCCTTTTATTCTTACCTCCATGGTCAGAAAAAGTATGTAATTTTCTTGCTTTGTTGAAAATTTATGGGAAAATTATAATACAAATGACTGAAAAATTCACCTTTTGTAATCACTTAGTAAGCAGCAGTTCAAGACACTTGAAAGCACTTCTGCAGATATGCATAACGGCATAAACTTGCAAATGGCTACGTTTAATGATTTATATAATATACCAGTATTAAATTGGAAAAGATCTTTTTATGTAGTTTTCTAATAACTTTCAATTAAAAAAAGTTACAAAATTTGATGACATCTTAATTTAAATGATTTTTTTGTGCTCTTCTATGAATATTTTTAGCATGATAGAATGTTTTCTTTTATATTTTATGATATCCAGGAAAAATACTGTGAGGGAAAAGTTGTTATATGACTTAAAAGTTTTGTATAGGGTAACTTAGAACCAAATTTTACTTTTAATTTAGCTGCATTGTCCTTTTAGAATTAACTCATATGTAAGATTTTTAGCTGTTTTCATAGAGCAGTCATGCTGAGGTTGTTGCTAATGTATTGTATTTTATGTGTTACTTTTTGTCTTTTTTAAGGTATGCTACCATAGATTATAAAGATCTTGAAATAAATTCATTGTATTTGTACTAATTACTTTTGTATGCATGAATTATATTTGTACTAATTGCTTTTGTATGCATATAATGAATGACTGTATTAGTGTGATAAGAAATATCTCCATAAACATGTATGCTCATACTTGGTTAGAAAATAAATCTTAAATTTTTTCGGTTAATCTTTGGATTATGGTTACTTATGGATTTTTTGGCAAAAATTTGGCGACCAACCCTGCTACAGCAACCTGTTAGTTTTTGTTCGGATGCCATTTTGTTCTCGTGACGTAAAGGCATTTTTTTTTTAACTCAACATTTTTTTCCAACAATCTGCTAGCCAAATTACACTTATGCTAGAACTTTTATGGAACAAAAGTGCTTAATCATGACGAAGATTAGGTGCAAAATTGGGAGAAAGTGCAGAATCGCCCACTGCTTGCCGCGTTTTTAAGAATTGTACATACACGGTATCATCCATGTACACGTCAACCTATTTTCACTTAAAAAAAAATCCCAGAATTGCACAAAAAATGGCATTGGGCACACTCTTGACTTTATCCATGTACACTGCTAAAGTCCTAGCTAGTAACCTTTATTGCCTTACCAAAATGTTGTCAAACTACCTGTTACCACATTCCAAAGATTAGCCATTTTTTCTTTTATGTTGTTTAAGTGTATAATAAATTTATATTCCCTTGCACAGAGAGAAGAGATAGTATTAATGCTGCTGTTAGTCCAGAAATTATTTCAATTTTTAAAGGAAAAACACCGAAACAGTTGCAAGCTATGTACAGACAAATTGAGAAAAAAATCTCCAAAAGTGAAGATGGAGTTGATATAAGTGAGAACTTTTTATTTTAATTTACATTTTTCTCAAAGAAGTCTAATAATAATATTTAATTTTCATGAAGCTTTTAAATGTCTTAAAATTTTAACCATTTTTCTTTTGTTAAAATGCTTAGATAAGCTTCTGATGCTAAGTAAAGAAAGATCACTTAAATCATCATATTAATATCTTGTTAAGAAGGAAATTATATTGTTATTATTTCATATCCAAAACTAAGGTTAACATAAAAAATACTAAAGGATGAGCATGTATTAAAATAGTATAAGCATGAAAATTAAAAAAAAAAAAAAATTCTACTCAGCATATGCATTCAGTCAACACCCTTGCATAAGTAAATGGAGTCTCTATAACTTTTTTTTAAAGTTTGTGGTTAAAAACCTATTTGAAGTCTTGAATATTTAAATATTGCAGGTTATTGGGAAACGTTACTTTCCAGACTGAATGCTTATATGGCCAGAGCTAGACTGCGTGAAAGACATGAAGAAAACTTACGTCATAAGTTGTATAAATTAAAGAAAGAAGTATGTGTTTGCTTTTAAATATTTTAATTCTGATTAAAAATTTTTTATATGTTATCAGTATTAATGTATTACATTGTAAATAGAGCTACCTGTTACCTACTAAGGTTATGTGTATGAAACATTTTAAATGATTGCATGACAAATGAATATTTTGAAATCATTAATTTAGCAGCTGTAGAATTATCAAATCTATTTTGCACCTCGTTTCTAAAATTTTGTTTTATTCCCTTTTTATTGTGCAAAAATAAAATTAAAAAAAAAATATTTTAATGTTTTCATTTAAATGTTTCATTTCTCTTTTATTAATGATATTTTATCAGTTCACATAACTTCTGGCAGAATTAAGGGATGCACATGTAATCTTTTCTTACATTATTTCCAAATTTCTTTTGAAATAATTTCACTTTTGTAATAGGTAGCATCTGTGTAGAAGATTGCCAGTCTCCAAGTATTGTATTGAAAAAAAGGTCAGAGGCTGTTATGTGTATAAATTTGAGAAAAACTGCAAAGTGTTAACATGGTCATGTGCAGTGGTTACTTTGAAATCAAACTGTTATTAAAAATAGAGCAGGAAACAGTTTTAATTATATATTAACCCTCTGAGTAACATGGTCATGTGCAGTGGTTACTTTGAAATCAAACTGTTATTAAAAATAGAGCAGGAAACAGTTTTAATTATATATTAACCCTCTGAGTAACCTGATTTTTTTTATCTGTCATGAAGACCTGTATTTAAAGAGCGTTTATTAGCTAAATTTTTATATTTACCTATTTTAGTCTCTATTTTCATGAACTAACATTAAGATGACATTTATGTCATTAATGAAAGTAAGAAAGCAAAATATCTTAAAGAGTAAGTTAGTATGTATCAAGTAACAAAAAATCTCGTGATCGAATAAAACCTGCTTGTTATTTTCTTAGTTATATCGATGTGGAGTTAATGTACGGAAGCTTTGAAATTTCATTCATGTCAGGTCAGCATATGTTTCTTTTAGATTTCTTGAAGAAATTGTTGTAGTTGTTATTCACATACTCTTAGAAGAGTTTGCTTAGCTTGTCTGCTACTGACATGAAAAAGATCCATCTTCCATAGACCAGTAGTCTGTTTTCACAGTAACACCCAAAACTGATTCCAATAAGACAATTCAGTGTTGTTTAATTGAAAATATTTTATAATTTAAACAAGCTAGAACCTGAGACATGTCAGAAATAGCTCTTTATAGATGCTATAGAGTTATAACTTTTTATATGCCATTACTTATTATGAGTGCAGATGCTATAAAGTTCACCAAAAAATTATAAAGGGACTATGCCTTTACTTTGTCATGCAAATGACTTCTCGGTCTGTGTGAGAAAACTACTATATGCTCTTATAGGAACTAGTCAGGAGTGAATGTGTTAATGATTAGACTGTTGTAGATATAGTGCAGTATCAAGCCCTCTACTAATATCTTGCACATGAAAGGAAATTCTATTTTAGCTTAGATTGTGACCCATCTGTATATATTGAAACATTCATTGTATGTGGGCATAGGAATATTGTTTGTATATGTTGCCACTTAAATTACATTTGTCTGAATTACTTTTTCAATGATAGCATGGTGGCTGGAAAACTTGGGTTTTAAAATTGTCTCAATTATAGAACTGTGGAAATGCCATAATTTCTTACCACATATCAAACTCACAGGCGAAGTAATGGAGTGCATGATGGCATTAAATTAAAAGTCCTCATCTCATTTTAATGTAATAAATATCATTGTTAATCTAGAAAATTTAAATGTCCTCATATTTAATATTTCACATCTAAATGGCTTATTTAATCTTATTTACAGCATGGTGAAAAGTTATATTTGTGAATAAGACATCAAATTATAATTTATGGTCATTCATATTGCAGGGCAAAACTAAGTTTTATTTCCTCTTTCATTGTAAATAAGCCTATAGAGCTGTTGTATTAAATTCTTCTGCTTATATGTGTTAATTAATGTTGTTCTATTTGTGATATTTTATTTTGGATAAAACATTTTTATATAGCAAGGAGTTGAACCACAAGCACCTCTTTTTCCATGTGTTGCTCAAGTAAAATCAATTTCTGAAAAACCAGAAGCATGTTCATCCACACAGAATGAAAATTCTTGTTCAGTGTCCCCAGTTTCAGATCAGCAAGCATCTACTTTTGATGTAAAATCTGAGAAATTGCAAGAATCTTCAAATCTCACTCCTAATGATTCTTCTTGTGTACTTAGTTCTGATGATACAGAAAAAAGTACAAGACATACAGGGGAGGATAGTGGAAAAGAGTTAGTAATAATTTTTTCTCTTTTTCATATAAATTATAAATACTGTAATTTTTTCATATTTTAAAATTTACCTCTTGCTTTAGGCCTGAGCATCCTGTTACACAAGTTGAAGAAGTATATGATTCTGGAAGGTATAGTCCCATTTTAATTTCCTTTCATAAATTGGAGCCTAGTATATTAATCACTGATCCTTATGATGATTTCAAGAGATTAGAGTTCATGCGAAAGCATCATACAAAATTGGGTGATCAATCAAATGAGGTATTATTTATTTTCATATTTCCACAGCTTCTTACAAAGTGTTCTATTATTAAATTCAGAATTTCATGTCTAGGAGTTTTTCAAATTACTTGATTTATATGTTTTACATTCATTTTGATGCTTAATTTTAGCAGTTTTTAACTAGTTAGCTGCATGTATTTTGTATCAACTTAATGTAAATGTAATTATTAAGGCTGTTTATAATTTAGGATATACTGACAGCTGAGGAGAAGGCATTTGATAAGATAGCCAGGAAAGGAATGGATGCTGATGAAGCCTCATTCAGTGTGGAATATTCTGTGGATCGGAGTTACTTGTGGGGTGATAAATATCGGCCACGAAAGCCAAGGTACTTCAATCGTGTACATACCGTAAGTATAATTTCACTTATTCTTGATGTTCTGGTTGTTATTTAGCTGATGAATTCTTATTTTTTTCTCTTTTTATTTAAGGGCTTTGAGTGGAATAAGTATAATCAAACTCACTACGATATGGATAACCCTCCACCAAAGATAGTCCAAGGTTACAAATTTAACGTAAGTTATTTTTTGTGTTTAGTAATAAAATATTGTTACATATATTTTTATGTATTGAAATAATGAAAACTCTTGATTATGTTTAACTGGGCAAACATGTTTAAGCAGTCATTCTTAATTGATATAAAATTCTGTGATAAGGCCTGCCATTGGCCAAAGGCTTAAAACCAAAAGCAGTGACAGTTAGTACTGGGTTCCTTTCCTCGTTGCTGAATGGGCTGGATGATTAAAGTTTAATATAGAGTTAGCAGGTACAGTGCTAGATATCTTACATGTCTTGGGCAGAGCATGCTATAGATGACTTTACTTTCCCCCTTTATTTTTGCAAAATGAAAAAAGTAGATTTATGATTTTTCATATGTACCATCAGTGCAAGCTAATTTCGTGTAGGAAATCCTCTGTGGATGCCTCTGTTCTTTGACAGGCAGTAGGCATTCTGTTACACAGTACATTTGAATTTATGCACAGAGTATCTGAAAAATACTTTTATGGCTTTTTTATATTCAGTAAAGAAATTAAGTTTTTTAATGCAGTAAATACTAGATGGTAACAGAGTAGTGACATTTACATTCTCATTTCAGAATGGCTTTATGCAGGAAATTGTGCTAGTTGTAATGTGGTTTTTTTCAAAGTTAAACATGTGCCACAGGTGCAGTGTGACCTTCATAACTGTACATATAGTCGAAATCCATCTACAAGACAGAGTTTATGAATGGTTAAAAGATTTATGAAAGTAGCATTTTGACAAAACCAAAATCTAGTTGCCTTAGAATACGCTCAAATGATGATTAATGAGGCTTTACATCTTAGTCCTTGCAAACTGATTACTGGGCAAATCCGTCAGTTGCAAATACACTGATGAACTGTGCATGGTGTAGTGCATAAAAAATTGTGACTTTCTATATAAACTTCAAAGCAGTTGAAGCCTGATGATGAGCTGCAAAGTCAAACATTTGCAGAAAGAATGTTAATGAAAAATTTTCTGGAAGTGTTTTCAGATGACGCAACTTTTCACTTATTGGGGATTGTTAATACAAGGGCTGTGTGAAAAGTTTCCAACATTGATATATAGATGGCAGCTCAAATCGCCCGAAGTGGGGGGGGAAATCGTTTGGGCATCACCCGATAACTACCAATCAAAATTTTATATATTTTGAATGGGAATTTTTTGTTTGGCAGGTACTTTTTTTTGAGTTGATGTGACTGTTTCGCCAAAAAATGGAGAAAATCGAGTATCATGCTGTCATTAGATACTTGTTTTTGAAAGGTAATATGCCTACTCAGATTAAAGAGGAATTAGACCCAGTGTGTCGAGACTGTGTACCATCATTTACCACTGTGAAATTTTGGGCAGCTGAATGTAAACGGGGCCGTACCAGCTTGGGTGACGATGAACTTTCAGGATGGCAAAAAACTGCAGCCACTGATGAAAAATCGCTAAAATCAGGGTTTGTACGGTTCTTAAGAGTCCTTAAAAGTCCTTACATTTTTTGAAATCGATTTTTGGTCCTTAAAAGTCCTTAATTTTAATCATCTGAAATTTCTCTCTGTTTTTACGACTGCCGTTTTGAGTGTGAATTAGCATTTTGGAGGAATGTTTTTGGCAATTCAGTGACGTATATGGATGTTTTTTGAATGGGTTCATGGGTTATAATTTGTTTCTATTTCTAATATAAATGATGGGATACTCGAGTTTCTAAGCAAGAAGTGAAACATAAGCATTTCGAAATTAATTTTTTCTAATAAAGAGCTCTTAAACAACTTTTCGCTTTTTGGGTTGTGAATTCTTTAAATAAATGGTTCTAAATTTGACAACTTGTCAACATTTTTGGAGATTTTAAGATAAGTTTTCTATAGAAAATTTTGTCCGAGATCTGAGATTTTTCGGCGATTTTTTTAAAAATATCATAACATGGAAAATTTCATTAAAATAATGGATATTTAGAATTATATTTAAAAATAACATTAAATAAAACATTTTTATTTTTTGCTGTCATAAGTTTCATTTGGCAACTTATATACAATATTTTAAATCTGAAAAATAAACTAGGTATATAGTTATAAACCATAATTTATGAAACAGCTCTTAGTAAAAGCAAAATTAGCTATGCAATTAATTAAAATGTCTTCTTTTTAATTTTTTCACAGTAAGCGTTTTTCCCATGTAATTCTCTCAGATTATTCAAAATTCTCAGAATGTGCATCAGTTTTCTCTATAAAATTAACTTTATACATTTTCCCTCCTATTTTTTCCCAAAATATTTCTGGCTTTTTGCAGTTGCAGAAATGGTAGAGATAATTTTTCTTTAGGATTTTAGACATTGCAGCTTGGAAAGTTTTGAAGGCAAGATTTATAGACCTACGATTCTAGAAGATTCGAGAAATATATGACAAAATGAAAAATGTCTCCATGGTATCAACAGATCAACACGTAATGGATGCATTTTACAGAAAGTTTGTGATAAATTTCTTACTTTTTGGAGAACGTCTGGAAGAACAATGGAAACATAATATTTGAATGTTTTACTACTGATACTAGAATCTTTTTTTCTTAACATATTTATCTTCCCTTTATTTTCTCTACTTTTCACTAGACAAAAGCATGGAAAATATCAAAAATGCTTCTAATCTTATCACTTGGGCAGGCATTATAGAAAGAGATTCTTTTATTAATACAGAAATTGAAAACTTACAATTTAAAAGATTCATCTAATGTGTCTAAATGCATCGTACCCAGAGCTAAATTCTGCTTCCAATGCCTGCTCTAAATTCTAAAAGTTTTGCCATTTCTAGATTTTGTTGTTCTGTGTGTCACTAAATTCTAAAAATTCTGCCACACCTGCTCTGTAACCGGCCTTTACGATATATTGTCATATTTCTTTGAATGTCATATACTAAATAAAATTAGCTACTTTTTCTATACATTCTAAATGCATTAGTGTTTTTTAGAATAACAGAAATCCTTAGTTATATTCCAAAATTCTAAAATGAAAAGGAAGCATGTTGAAGAAAGAAACAGTAAATAAAGAAAATTACTCTTCAAATTTATGTGCAGCTGTTCTTATGTAAACTTACCTGTTGTTTATGATTTCAGCCTTTACTATAATTCCCATTTCTGTTTTTCGTATGATACAGTATGAGCCAGATTAAATTAAAATTAAATTGTATTATCTTTGACCACTAGTCCACATTTTTAGTTTGAATTTGACTGTTCTTGTTTAATTACGTCATCATGAGCTGTAATTGACTTTGTTAGCATCAGAACATGCCTTTATGTTCTAAGTTTTTGTCTGACATTGTCGTTACTTCAGATACCAGTGATAATTTGCTTCATGTCGATAGGGGGGGGGGGGAATTAAACTTTTACCAGATCAAGTAAACCCTCATAGGTACATTGTGGAGAGGTTGACAAGTTAGGAGTAAGCACACAGAACTCGCGAGAACATTGGTTTGCATATTAGACAAAATCTAATTATTGTCAGAAAAGATCGGTAATTATAGAGAAGAAATCGATATAAACTAGCCAAAATGTTTGGAAGGCTTGTAGAGGCATTAGGTTATTTTGAAAGCAGGAAAGATAAAAATTAACAAACGGCTTATCGGGAATCGAACCGCAACCTCTGGAATACCGCTACCCAGTGTGCAACCACCCACACGAAGGGCACCAGGGTGGCAGAAATACCTTATAATCCCCCTTTTAATGGCGACTGGGGTTTTGAGGGAATCCAATCGGTAAATCTTTGTGTGGAGAACCCATCAAGTAACCATCACCCATCAATAACCATCAACACCTTAAGTAAAACTATTCTTGCATCTACTGAGACTTATATAGGAGGGTTGGAACTTTATAGTGGCAACTTTATTTACAAGAATACAAAAGTGATTCATGTCACCATGTTTTACAGTTTCAATATAGTCGCCAGCATTGTGTACCAACCCGTTTCCAACAATGTAGAAGTCGCAGAATACCTGTAGCAGCACCGTTTTGTTGATAGTTTGAATGGACCGGTCTTGCCGCAAGAATCAGGAAAGTTTGAAAGCGAGTGCCATGAAGGTGTTTCTTCATCTTAGGAATTAAGTCATAGTCCAAGGGCTAGATCTGGGAGTATGTGCATGTTAAAGCACTTCCCAGCCCCATCGCTTTGAACAAAGCAGTCACAGCTTGCGCTGCATGCAACCGAGCATTGTCATGCAAAAGAGAGAGCGTTCAGCAGAAATGTCACCGTTTTTTCTCAAAAGCTGGTCGGAGATTGTGCTCCAAAAATGAGCAGTAATGGTCTGCTGGGCGGAACGGTATGCGTGAGGATGACACATCACAGTCATACACGAGAATCACCATAACTTTCACATGTGGGGTTCTGACGAAATTTCGAACGTCGTGGTGACCCGTGATGACCATTCGTTTGATTGGCGTTTCAGTTCTGGCTGGTACGATCGAGCCCAAGTCTCATCCAGCGTAATGATACAGTGTAAAAAAGCATCTCCTTCGCACTCATAGCGCTCCAGGTGGGTTCGGGCAGCATCGTATTGTAGCCATTTCTGCATTCATCAATTGATGTGGAACCCCATCTGAAGCAATTTTTCTCATGGACAGGCATTCCTTCAGAATGTGCATCACCGTCGATGCGCTAATCCGTTTGTCCGGCCAGCTGAATGAATCGTTTGGTGGCGATCACTGTCCATTAGTGCGGCACAGTTTGCACGTCTGAATCGCTGAACTCGGACGACTTGGCCGCAGCATGTCTGCCACGTTTTGGTGTCCTTCATGAATGCTTTCACCATCTGCTATGGTTCTGTAAGGCAATGCAGATTCCCTGCAAGAAACTTGAAGCCATTGATGACAACTGTGTGCTTTACGACCTCTGCACATTCAATTTATCCAACATTGGTTCTTGTTTTGAAAAATGACAACACTTACTTTAGACCGCGAGCTAATACAAGGAATCCTTTTTCGGTCACTCCGATGTGCGTGACGTAGGCAGGATGGTCTTTTTGCTGAG